ACTACCAACTGCTTTAGTCTCATAATGGGCTACTACACAAATATAAGAATTAACAATATTGGAATAGCAATTAAAATGAATAAAAATAAATTAAAATCATTGATAGTCAAAATGTTTCCATTTAAAGCATTTTAAGGACCTTTTAAATCTCTACAAAGCATTAAGATTTCATGGCTAAGTTCAAGCTTGCAATATATTCTGTCCATGGGAGATATCACAAATCCAATTGCCAGTTGAACTATTCCAAAGGCTAGGAAAAGCACTGACCATTTTTAATGAAAACCCACTAAGGGGAAATAGTTTGCACTTATGGAGGAATAAATGAAAGAATCACCCAAACTTCTATGTTATCATGATTATTCATTATTATTTAGACAGATGCATTAAAAAGGGATACACACAGTGTGAAATGTTTTAGAAAGTCCCCCTGCCACTCTCATTGTGCTTTCCCTGTGTTCCAGCAACGCTGCCAAAAGACAGAGTGACTCAGCCTTTTGACTCATCTCCTCTGATCGGTGTTATCCTCAGAATCACTCACTGCTAGATGAGATCAGGAAGATCAGAAAGTGCATCATTTTGCTTTGTTGTGATCAAAATAAGCTGGAGCCCAAGGTACTCCATTAATATGGAGTATCAGACTGGAATCACCAAATTGCTTTGCTTTATTTTGAAGACCCTGCATAGACTTATGCCAGGCAGAAGGAAGCAGAGTTTATCTTGGCTTGTCTATGGGTTAAGGAAACCCATAGTGGTGTCTATAACAAGTCATGAGGACAGCAAAAGGATGTGTATGTTATGACACCATTGCACAGACCTAACTTAGTACTTGCCTCATGATGGCAGCCTCAACTACATGTCATGTCCTTTGTGTCACGATATCATGATGGCTTGTCATCATTTCCCCTGTTCCCCCCACCCCCCACCTCTGCATGTGGAACTATCCAGAAATAGGATTGCTAAATTGTCACCCATGAAGTTAAAAAAATCATATAGATGTGCATAAATACAGAACCAGGGTTCATGTGACATACAAACTAGGGTAACTTATTTGTGACTTTGTTTGAACCCTGCTAATATAATTAATATGCTAAAGTTTTTGGATTAGTGTGTTGGGGGAATCCTATTGTGGCTTATTTAGTTAAACTACGGAAAAGCAGAACACAGCTTAGATATTTTATGAACATAGCAGCCATACGATACACAAACCTTGTCTAGACTCCAGTTCAATCTAATTTTAATAGTGTCTTCATAGGGGTCAATGCCAACTAAGAGTTTGCAAGTGTGTGTGTGTGCGTGCGTGCGCACGCGTGCGCAACTTAAATCTAACCGTTCAGTTCTGCAATGGAAAAAAATGTCAGATTTTGACCATATTAACCCTCCCCCCCCCCATCCTTTCTGGTTTCTTGACATACAACAGCTTTGTTAAATAATTGCTCATTTTATAATTTTTGGTGGTCATCCTACTAAGGAACTTCATCAAAGTTCACAAAACTATGTTGTTTAAACTGCAAAATGCACACAAATGACGGGATTCCCTTTGATTCTCAGATTTAGCAGAGTACTAGGCTTGGATGGTTTATGTGGCACAACATTTAGCTGCCAAGGGCCATAATTCACTAAGATCACATTTTTCACATCAAGATGATGTAGATGCTTTATTAACCACAATTATTATAATACACAATCGTGGTGGGAAAATATCTTCTGGATGCAAAATACAGTGAATTTTGGTAAAATCTGTACCGTCAGATCCTTGGCTTTCTGCTTTAAGGAACCAAGTTGTCTTTCCATGGCTCAAAGCCAGTAGTCAGCTAGTTATACATTGCTCTTATTGGTTTGAAAGGGTGATTCACTTTATTTACATCAGCATACAAAAGTCTGACCACATGATTTTGTTTCATGCTGGTCTTTGTTATGTGCTAGGGAGAATTCTTTATAATGGTCAGAAAAATAGTTATCCATTCATAAATTCTTGTTCTATTGATGTGTTCAATTACTGTAATGGATCTGGCTTCGTCAAGGAGAATTGGGGACACAGAGATGTTATAGTCTGGATGTTAGCTAAAATGCTCCTCTTCCTCCTCTTTTTCTATCCCTCAAGATCTGCCATTTTTTAATATTAATGTCATAAAAGAGGTTAGTCTTTTAAAAGTTAAGCTATAGTACCATCAGGAAGATGGCAGTCTTAAAATTCTGTTTTCCTGGTATCATAGTTTTATAAAGGATACTGTAACATCAATATACACTGTATATTAATAACTACCCATTAATATACACTGGGTAGGGGTTTTTTTAAATTTTATTTTCCATCAGAATCTCATAAAAGGTCATGAAACCATTTTTGTTGGATGTTTCCAACAATGCCTAGAGCAGTGTTTCTCAACCTTGGCTGCTTGAAGATGTGTGGGCTTCAACTCCCAGTATTCCCCAGCCAGCAAGGCTGACTGGGGAATTTTGGGAGTTGAAGTCCACACATCTTCAAGCGGCCAAGGTTGAGAAACACTGACTTAGAGAATTATGCTGAATTCCCTTTCTATCATTTCTAATCCCTGCAGCCTCTTGTCCTACTTTTCTTTAAATTATTTTTTGTAAAGCCAAGCTATCCATCCCCTCCCTCTCTAAAGTTCAAAGCCCTTTAGATGCATGGAATATAATGCCTTTGATTTGTACTTGGCAGCAACCATTATAATAAATACTTCTGCGTCTCTGCCACGGCTACGTTCCAAAGCAACACCGCCGCTGCCTGTGAAATTACACACGCGGAATCCTTCACTGATGCTTAGAAGCTAGTGCTCTGAATGAACTAAACTTCATAAGTTCCTGCTTAATCGAGACCTGCCTATAAAATCTGAGAAAAAACAGAAGCTACGCCCATTCTTCGTGAACCCATCCCACTATAATAATTCTCTTCTCCTACTTTGCAAAAGATAAGTGCCTGGTGGGCTGTTGGGAGTGTATTTATGTAAGACAATGTTGTGAGGGAACTGGGAAAGAAAGAAAAGGCACGTTTGGTACAGCATTTACACTGGAAGCTCTCTTTTGTGTCCTCTCTCTTTGGATAACCCCTTGGCAAGTTAGAAGTGCCATTCTCTCATTTCAGGGAGAGAGCAACCACCAAGCATTGCTTGAAGCAACTGAACAAGCTAGATCCTACTATAGCTAGAAGACAAGAGTTATCTTTCACATTTTATTCTTCATGATCTGTATCTGAAACAAACAATAAGCTGTGTGTCCTCGTTCCACTTATTATAATTTGTCTCACAAGTGGCTGACCTAGGCTGGGTTGGAAACTAAGCAAGGTTGGACCTAATTAGTAGCCGAGTGGGTGACTTCAGGGCTGTAGGATAGATGGAGAAATACATTTAACCAAAAAACCCACCCCAGAGTAAGATAATGGCAATATTGTTGTCACAAAAAAGACATGGATGAGATCCATGAGATCCCCAAGAACTGATCGTGATCTGAAAGAGACTTCACCTTTTACTGCATTTATTAGCAAGCTGTATCAGTGAATCACCTACAACTTCAAATCACTGTTAACTGGATCGATTGATCAATCTGCAGCTTCAGAAAGGAAAGATTATATCCCATGCATATTACACTCCACTTACTATACATCAAAAAATACATCACTGTTGCATATGCTGATGCTAATGCATTTATGATACCATTTTATCTGAAAGCCATCTAAAACACTGTACAATCCAAAGAAATGTATAATACATTTGTTTTAAAGCTTCAACACCTAGCACGTCTAAGTAGGACTGACAAGCATTCTAGTTAAGTCCTGGAGAGCTGCACTGAATCTTTTACAGTGAGAGGGTTAGATTCAGACTTGCATAATCAATGCCCTGTTTGCATGGGTCAAAAATAGGCTGGAGAGTAATTTTCATTTCCCTCTCTCTCTCTCCGGGAAAAGCATGCCAGACAGAGCAGCACAAGGCATCTATTTCCATTTTCCTCCTGCTCTATACAGAAAACCACCCAGTGTCCTGTCTTATGCTGTGCCAAAGATGTGTCAAAGGAAACATAAATTAAGCTCCTTAGTTCTTCTGGGGTTTTTTTGAACCTCACATCTGAGACCATTTCTGTTAGGTTTTTAAAAAAAGTAAAGGGCAGTAGAATGGATGCTACCAACAGAATTATCCTGTCCCAAGTATCCCAAGTCCCAAGTTATACATACCAAATTGATGGTAAAAACCAAGAGTTTTTTTATTTTAAGAGTTGCAATTTCTCAATCCCACATCACATGAAACCAGGATCAATTCTGCATCCTTTGT